TGAAATCAAAGAATTTAGTTATCTATGAAAACAAGGGAATTTAGCCATCTATGAATTCAAAGGAATTTAGCCATCTATGAAATCAAAGAATTTAGTTATCTATGAAATCAAAGGGATTTAGCCATCTATGAATTCAAAGGAATTTAGCCATCTATGAAATCAAAGAATTTAGCCATCTATGAAAACAAAGAATTTAGCCATCTATGAAATCAAAGGAATTTAGTTATCTATGAAATCAAAGGGATTTAGCCATCTATGAATTCAAAGGAATTTAGCCATCTATGAAATCAAAGAATTTAGCCATCTATGAAAACAAAGAATTTAGCCATCTATGAAATCAAAGGAATTTAGCCATCTATGAAATCAAAGGAATTTAGTTATCTATGAAATCAAAGGAATTTAGCCATCTATAAAAACAAAAGAATTATTCATTTGTAAAAACAATACAATTTACTAACTGCTGCTTATTTGACTGTGCATAAAGTGTACTCTATTTTAATACCCTTCATTTATTTGACAGTATGAAGACCGTGGTATGATTCGTAGTAAGACCTCACCAGCATTAGCCAGTCTATTACGTAAATCATTTGTAGATGGTAACCCATGTAACACTGTCTTTCATCCTAAAACTGGACTTCCTATCAATTCCAGCCCGGTAAGTCTCAAATATATCATAGTACTACTGTTTCCAACTATATACATTTTTAATGCACATAGCACTGTTTGTATTCATTATGGTAATCAGCAAGACATTCTTCAATAAAGATAGAATAACCTGATGACAATCAGCCCACAACCCACTATCACCATCAGTCAGATTGTGGGTTTATGCCCTGTACACTCAGCATCAGGGAGATTGTGGGATTATCGTATGTGCACTGGGGTGTCCATCACCATCAGGGAGATTATGAAATTATCCGATGTCTACTGGAATGTCCATTGCTAACAGGGAGATTGCAAGTGTATCCTCTGTACGCTCAGTCGTCTAATATCATAAGGGAGATTGTGGGTTTATTCCTTGTACACTCAGGTGTCCATCACCATCAGGGAGATTGTGGGTTTATTCCTTGTACACTCAGGTGTCCATCGCCATCAGGGAGATTGTGGGTTTATCCCCTGTACAATCAGGTGTCCATTGCCATCAGGGAGATTGTGGGTTTATCCCCTGTACAATCAGGTGTCCATTGCCATCAAGGGGATTGTGGGTTTATTCCCTGTACACTCGGGTATCCATCACCATCAGGGAGATTGTGGGTTTATCCCCTGTGCAATCAGGTGTCCATCACCATCAGAGAGATTGTGGGTTTATCCCCTGTACAATCAGGTGTCCATTGCCATCAGGGAGATTGTGGGTTTATTCCTTGTACACTCAGGTGTCCATTGCCATCAGGGAGATTGTGGGTTTATTCCTTGTACACTCAGATGTCCATTGCCATCAGGGAGATTGTGGGTTTATTCCTTGTACACTCAGGTGTCCATTGCCATCAGGGAGATTGTGGGTTTATTCCTTGTACACTCAGGTGTCCATTGCCATCAGGGAGATTGTGGGTTTATTCCTTGTACACTCAGGTGTCCATTGCCATCAGGGAGATTGTGGGTTTATTCCTTGTACACTCAGGTGTCCATTGCCATCAGGGAGATTGTGGGTTTATTCCTTGTACACTCAGGTGTCCATTGCCATCAGGGAGATTGTGGGTTTATTCCTTGTACACTCAGGTGTCCATTGCCATCAGGGAGATTGTGGGTTTATTCCTTGTACACCCAGGTGTCCATTGCCATCAGGGTGATTGTGGGTTTATTTCTTGTACACTTGGATGACCATCAGGGAGATGGTGGGTTTATTCCTTGTACACTCAGGTGTCCATTGCCATCAGGGAGATTGTGGGTTTATTCCTTGTACACTCAGGTGCCCATTGCCATCAGGGAGATTGTGGGTTTATTCCTTGTACACTCAGGTGTTCATTATCATCAGGGTGATTGTGGGTTTATTCCTTGTACACTCAGGTGCCCATTGCCATCAGGGAGATTGTGGGTTTATTCTTTGTACACTCAGGTGTTCATTATCATCAGGGTGATTGTGGGTTTATTTTTTGTATACTTGGATGACCATCAGGGAGATGGTGGGTTTAACCCTTATCCTGCCAGCTTCATGTAATTTTACATTGACCAAATAAGGGTTAAACTCCTACACAATCAGCAGAGAACCCACTTGTTGACAACAGTGATATTGTTGTCACAATAATTGATAAGGGATGATTAGAAATTTTCTGCCCATTAAATTAATTATTATTTTATTTGTTTTCAGGCACCGCCTCGTAGAATAAACAGAAACAGTTATGACTTTGATCAATCAATGACAAATCTTAACAATATGGACTATGATCAGGGGTAAGTAGAAT